CCCCCCCCCCCCCCCTCTCTCTATTCTACTTCCTTATCTCCATCATTAATATTAATTCATTCAGGCAGAAGGACGGTCCGACATTCATTAGTACAAAGCTGAAAATTAATGATCGGCTTTTACCCGTGTCGTTGTCCCTCGAGCTCACTCGCAAGACGGAGGTCCCGAATGACGCCGCCTCCGACACCGAGATGTTGTAGGAATCCTGCGTGAATTCGGGCGGGCAGTCGTTCACGTCCAGAACGAGGATGCTAACCAGCACCTCCGCGTAAACGCCCGACACGCTGTCGGTGGCGCGTACGGTCAGTTCATACTGCTTCTTTTGCTCATAATCCAGCTCATCCACCACATAGATTACACCTGATTTATACGAAGAGAAGATTGTAGGACCCAAAGCACTATGCAGCGGGAGTGTCTACGTGTCCGTCGGCGGCGGTGTATGCGTGCGCCCGGGAAGCGGACGGGAAGCGGACGCGAGAAATTAATCCACGACGATCCCGCAATGGTCGTTCCAACTTTCCTCATCGTCGTCGCTATCTCAATCGCGCGATCAGCACAGCTTGGCGCGGATGGATCGTTTTGTGGATGGGTCGTGCGAGTTTACGAGCGAGGAAGCAACGTTTCACGCGAGCCGACAGATCCGTAGACACTGGAAGACACTGTGATGAATGCAGTCACGCAGTAATCACGTTTACGCAAAACGTCGAGATCCCGTGGAATGATTTGCGAGAATGCTATTACGGGGTGCCTGCACCTTCCGGACCACCCGACCGATCTGTTTGTTTTTTTTCTTTTTGCCGATAAACAAGTAACCTGAACGGTAGATCACACGTTAAATAATATACAAGAAGGGAAAGAGAATTTATCAAATATATCGGATGCGAATCTCTCTTTCTGATATTTAATGCAATTCGATTATATTGACATTTTACTTGTTGATTATTCTACCGAATTTTTCTCAGCTACAGGAAGAGTAGCATACATTAATCGCATTCACATTCATATCGTACTTGTATATGTACGAGAAATGCAAAAGGAGTAGCGTGATCATGTCAATATTTATGTATAACATTTTTTGAGAACCGCCTCTGAATTATCGACGCTTTCACGTTCGCCATCGACCTTGGCATCCCCTTATTTCTCGAAGGGAGAATGATCTGTGAAAGTGACGGAGACAATGCCTCCCCCCCCCCCTTATATAAGGTGCAGGCACATCATGCGAGCGGGAATCGAAGCTACCGAAGTCTCGTGAAGAAAATGAAAATGGGCGATCCGCGCATTCAGATCCAGGCGATGTATTTATTACGACGTGTCTAGAGCGGCCTCGGACTGGAGAACGATAGTGCATGTAAGCAGCATTGTGCGTTCTAAGCCGGTTTCATGTGTGTGTGTGTGTGTGTGTACTTTCATTGCGATTACAATTTATAACGAGAACCGCCTAGATCGCAGAAAAAACGGGCAGCAAAAACGAAATTAATTTTGTGGGATGGTGTAGACGAGCGAAAGCGGATTACGGAAAAGTGGGAGACTCTCGAAAGCAGATATTACAGTCTTTTTAAATTAAGGAGACTCGGGAAACTCTTCCCTCCCCCCTCACCATGAATGTGTTAGAGCGTGCAGCACAAGCTAGCGGTCACAAGCCAGAGATCGTAGCTCAAAACGTTCATTGTTACGTCCACCGCGACATACAGCATTGATCGTCATGATTGCATCTAATTAAGTGTGTTTAATAAGCGACTGGGGTTATCGAATAAAATCTCGGAATGAAAGTGCTAAAAGTTAGTATACATGTACCGTGTATAATTTCGGAAACGTGAAGAAATGTGTCTTGGCGAAAAATGGATCGGTACATTCGTGTTGCGACGCACGGTGGTAAATTAATGATCTAATTGGAAGTAAATGAGAATTCGCAAACGATGAATATATTTAAATGATACACATATTGACGGGCGGCAGTCCCGGGCGTAATGTTATGGTAATTGCACGAGATAATTGAATAATTTGCACTGATCAGAATGTTAATTGGAAATGTGATCCAGCGACGCGGGCGAATTGATAAGTGCATGCATATTCGCTTTAATTAAACGTCGAAGTAAAAATTCAAACGCCGATCTCGGGTCGTCGAGGCGCGCGCGCGACAAAAGCGACGTTAAGAATGCAACTCGTGAAAAGGTGGGTTTAAGGACGCGGGTTTCGTTCTTTAACTTGTTTCCGAATTAAAGGAGCAAGCAAGAAATCCAGGCGGTTTGCATTCGACGTTATCGAATCGGTGCAGCCGCGCGGTGCAGTTATTGAATCTCTCAGATTTATCCAAACTCAATTTCGTCGGCCGCGCATTGTTTCAATCCGCTCGACCCAATTGCAGCGATTTGCCTATGATTACATCGTGCATGAACATGGAGCGTTGTGGTGGTGCGACATAGCCTCGTAATAATACAGCAACACAGCACAGACCGATAGAACTAGTATGTCTTTTTTTTTATACTCACAAGGACCATTGTTACTGTCGGGGGCTGCGAAACAGGCAGATACAACAAAACTTTAATCTCTAGTTTCCAGACAAGCAGTCGTAAGAGGTACATACGGAAACGAGTGTCACGATTCGAACACAACTAAATGATCTACTGTCAAAGATAAAACCGTGAATACGGACAGCCACTAAAAATACGGTAATCGGGAAGAAAGTATATTCGCTAATAAGCCGAGAAATGATCGAGTTGGAAAGAATACGCAATGGGGATAAAACTTATAGGAAGTGGCGCGAAATAATCTCGGTTAATTGAAATAAGACGATCGAATCCTTAATATTAGGTGTGTGAATTAAAGAAAGTTATCGAATTAATTTACACACTCGATATAAAATTAATTAAGATTTAGCGAAATTATCAGAGAATATCGCTGAAACTATCGCTCGAAATATCACTTGCTTTTCTCTCGACTTCTCCGTCTACCCCAATTTCACCTGTATACTATCATACAATTAGAACCTAGCAACCAGCAAGTACCATAATGCAGCAAAAACCGACAAGTTCGCTAAGTATATATATATATATATATATACCCAGACTTGCAATATAGTAGCCCTTCCATATAGTTCGAACAGTGTGAGTCCCATAGCCACAAGTTGTGAAACAAAAACATTTTACTCGATTACTTCAACGCGATTGCTTCAACAACAGCTTAATAACTTTCGCATGTTATCGGGAGAGATTCACGCGACAATAGGCCGTAATAATCGCCGGGTTGACGAGAAAATTCCGTCGGTACGTCAGCTACGCGAGTGTGACATCACGGCAAGATCACATTGTCGATTCTACGAACTTTTCCAACATTTTACAACAGAATCCTAACGACGATTAGGACGGTCGCACGCGGTTCTTTGCTTCTAAAATACACGCTCGGCGTTCTTCGACCAACGCATGCCGGAGGACACGTATTGCGTGTGCGTGTGTATGTGTGTGTATATGCGTGTGTGTGACTTACCTGTGTTGAAGTCCAAGGCGAACTCCTCGAAATCATTGCCCTTCGTAATGCTGTATATGAGCTTGCGACTCAACGGTGACTCAGCTTGAATGGATAACGCCAGAGGTGAATGTACTTCTATACTTTCGAGCACGCTATCCGTGTAGAATTGCTTGTCAAATACCGGCATCGAACGATCTATCACCTTCACGTTGACTGGCACCTCAATGGAGCAGGGCGTTATTCCTGCAATCATATTTAGCAGGAGCTCATTTGAAGCAGATCAAGCGGATTAGATTAAAAGAGAGAAAAGAAAAAGGACCGCTCGGTGCTTAAGAAAACTCACCGCCGTCGTACGCGGCGATCGTCAGCTGGTACTCGCGATTGTGACCCTCGAGGTTCTGCTTCAACGATATCTCGCCGGTTTTCCGGCACACCTTGAACAGCTCGCCGTGGCCCTTCTTCAGTTCGTACCGCACTTCGCCGTTGTCGCCGCTGTCCATGTCGACCGCGTGCACCTTCGTGATGACGTCTCCCTTCTGCGCGTCGACCGACACGACCGCGTAATACGGAAGATTGACGAACATCGGACAGTTGTCGTTGATGTCGAGTATCGTGACGTTCGCTACGACGTGAGCCACCCGGGGCTTCTCGCGATCCGGCGGCTGGCTCTTCGCCTCAACGATCAGCTCGTAATGATCGCACGTCTCCCGATCGAATCGTATGCCGGTGGTTCGGATCGCGCCCGAGGTCGGCCCGATCACGAACATGTCCGTGGGATTGAGAATGCTGAAGAGGATGTGCTCGTTCAAGGAACTACCGAGTACGTTCACCACCATCACCGTCGTGATTTTCGTCGAGTTCTCCAGTATCGCGCCCTCGTAGACGCTCTTCTGGAAGATCAGGCCCGAATTCTCCGACTTCTCCACGGTGACGCTGACCTGCGCCACGCTCGAGTACTTCCCGTCCGACACCCGCACGTGCAGCAGATGATTCTTCTTCATGCGTTCCGGATTGTGCACCGTGACGATGCCGCTCTGAGCGTCTATGTCGAAGGCGTGAGCTTTATTCCCGTCGATAATATCGTACCTGGACCGAAGTGAAAGTCGAGTCAAGCACGGACTAAAAACCGTGGGCTACGTGAGAGAAAAGTTGCCGCGACTAAATTCGAAGGAGATGTTTGTTTTCACGCTGACACCGATTTCAGGGAGTATCGTACGTACCTCAGGGCAGTTCCCTCGGAGCTGTCGGGGTCCACGGCGGTGACGCGAATCACGGCGACGTTCCTGTACGTCGGCAGCAGCAGCGTGACGTTGTAATCGGTCTCGGAGAACTTGGGCGGGCAATCGTTCACGTCCGTCACGGCGATCATCACTCTGGCCGTGGTCTCGGAGGAGAGCCTCGGCTTGCCGAGATCCGAGACCTTCACGTGGAACGAGAACGCCGGTACGGTCTCGTGATCGAGCACCATGACCGTCCTGATGGCGCCGGTGCTCGAGTCGATGTGGAAGTACTTTCGCGGCAGGTCCTCGACGATGTCGTAGTTGAGCAGCGCGTTCAGCTCGGAATCGGCGTCCTCGGCCTTGATCACCAACGGCGCGCTCGTGTTGGTCAGCACGAGCGAGCCGATGCTGGCGCCTTCGCTGATCTCGCCGCTGTAGAGGGCCTGCAGGAAGCGCGGCGCGTTGTCGTTCCTGTCGAGCACGTGAACGATCACGCTGCAGACGGCGGTGGCGCCGGCCATGTTGGTCGCCGAGACCGACAGGTTGTAGAACTTCGTCCTCTCGTAGTCCAGCTGATTCTTTATCACGATCACGCCGGTGCTGGGGTTCACGAAGAAGGTGTCGTCCCGGTTGCCGCGCAGCAGCTCGAACTGCAGCGACGACGTGCTCCTCGCCTCCACGTGCTTCACGTACGTGCCCAGCTGCTGGTTCTCGTAGATCTCCGCGGAGAGCTCCTTCTGGACGAAGCGGGGCGGCGCGTCGTCGGCCATCGTCACCATCACGTGCACCGGCACCGTGTTCGAGAGCGCCGGCGAGCCGTGATCGGTCGCCTTCACCAGCAGTATGTACTCGGAGGTGACGCCGAGGTCGAGCTCGCGGGCCACCCGGATCAGACCCAGCTCCGGCTCGATCGCGAACACGTTGCCGACGTTGCCGGACGTGATCGAGTAGGTGATCCGCGCGTTCTCGCCGCGGTCCCGGTCGATCGCCCACACCTGCACCACCGCGGCGCCGAGCGGCGAGGTCTCGTACACCTTGCCCTGGATGATCTCGCTGATGAACTCGGGCGGGTGGTCGTTGTGGTCGTGCACGGTCACGACGACGCGGGCGTAGTTGCGCTTAGCCGGAGTGCCCTGATCCTTCACCATCACCGTCAGCACGTGTTCCTCGATCGCCTCCCGGTCGAGCGGCTCGTTCAGTGTCACCGAGCCCAGCACCGAGTCCACGTGGAAGATCTCCAGGGAGGCCTGGCTTTGCGCCGCGTGCAGGCTGTAGAAGACCTTCTTGTCCTCGTCCTCGTCGCTCGCGTGCAGCTGCAGGATCTTCTTGCCCCTCTCGACGTTCTCGGAGATGTCGACGTGATACGTGCTCTCGGTGAACTCCGGCCGGTGATCGTTGATGTCGATCACCGTCACGTACAGCTGCGCCAACGCGGTGTGCACGCCGTCCGTCGCGCCGATAGTCAGGTTGTAAAAGTTCCGGCTCTCCCAATCCAGCCGCTTCGCCAGCAGCACGTTGCCATTGTCACGGCCGATGAAGAACTCGTCGCACTTGTCCCCGTCTGCGCAACGACTACGTCAGTCACCTCTCGCTGAATACGGCGCGTCGCCGCGCTCAATTCGTCATTCGTATGTATATATACGCGTAATTGAGATAATCGCTCCGTAAATTCATTTCCCCACGAATCCTTCCGCATTGTTGCATCAAGCGCTTAAGTTTCGGAATACTTGTTGCGTTACAACCGCTGTAAATGACGTATGATTTGGACGAAAGCGAAGAGAACACCGTGCGTTCTTACCTAAAATATCGTACCACAGGGAATCACCGTCCTTGTCGGTGGCTTGCATGAGAGCCACTAGAAAGCCCACCTCGTCGCTCTCCGTTACCTCCACGCTCTGATTGTTCGTCTTGAACACCGGAGGATGCTCCGATTTCTTCGGTGTCTCTACAACCTGAACGGACACTCGAGTCTGATGACTACGCTGCGGCTCGCCGTGGTCGGTCGCTCGTATCTGCGGGACACATCGCGCGCGTGCGAATTTTTACTCGAGATTGAATTGTGAAAATATTCACGCAACCGGTGGTACAATTCGACGACTTTGCCAACCTTATCATCCTTTCTTTCATTTTTTTATTTCTTACTTGTTCAAACTAATTAGTTAAAAAAGTCGAGGCAATGAAGGGTGTGTTTTGCAGAGGCCTTTTTCTCTACGCCACTCACCAACATCTCATATTCCTGATCAGCCTCGAGTCCGCGCTGCGAGTACACCATACCCGTGGTAGGGTGAATCTTGAACTTGCCCTTCCCTCGGCCGCTCTTTATACTATACTGGATCCTGCCGTTCTCGCCGATATCCTGGTCTTTGGCAAGTACCTAACGCAAATTTCCTCATCAGTTACGTCATCGTTACGAGGACGGAGTTTCCGTCTGCTGTGTCGACGGCATGAAAGAAACGTCAGTACAATCTAAAGTCGCGCGTCTAATCCGGAGAATGCTGCAAGTGCAAGCGAGATCATCGACGTGATGACCGCTAGTGATCATTCCCGCCGAAGATGACCAGACACAGCGTCATGACGGCTCTCTTTCGCCGCAAGGTGCGCGCGTGCAAGCGGATTGCGCGAGACTTATACACTCGCGCGATGAGCCGCGCAACGAGGTGGAGTGCAGCGTTTACGTGGTCCGCATGCGACAGAGCTAAAGATCCATGTCAGACAAGATGCAGCTGCCCCGACCGATCTATCGAGCTACCAAGCGTGGCGAACGATCTCGGCGATCTCGACGCCAAGAGGGTAGCGAAAATGCCGCCACAGATGCAATGCGCACAGCAACAAACGCCGATCAGCCTTTGTCTCGCGACAATTTTGATGCCACTTTGACGTCGCTCTTAAGGGGGGAGATTCCTGCGTTTAGACGAATTTTTCGCCGGACATTCTTTCCCCGCTCAACTCTTACACAGGATGTTTCGCGAGGAAACCGGCGAACTTGTAAAATGTGCTCGTTCGAAGCAAAGGAGTTCTGGACTTCTTTTCATAAGGTTATTTGAAATTTCGTATGTACAGTGACGGTAAATCGCCCAATAAAAATGATATAAATGTCTTCTTGCCTGTTACAATAATAAATATTAATAAAATTATCTATATCGCGATAATCGATGAGAATTCACCTATCATTATCCGAGCTTTTTTATGTAGAATTATCCCCAGGGCGCACGACTTAGCTTCTAGAATATATTCTAGAAGTTGGTCTCCTCGGAATAGACCGAACTTTTCGCTTTAAAGTACCGCCGTTTTGTTGATCTTTTTTACTTATTTTGGTCCGAACGACAGCTATATAGATGAAAAATTTCTTTGGTCTTTATGTTTCGAATTAACTGGAAAAGCTGCAATCATATTTACCGTTACGAGACGAAAGATGTATGAAAGTAACGTATAAATTATGAAATACAGAGATCTGCAAAACTTTCCAAATGTTATATCAACATAATTAAATGTGTGTACTAAACTTTGTATATTTTCACAAATTACAGCTTTAACAATGAAAAATGTCAAAATCCGTCTGAAATCTCGTCGTCTAGACGACAAGAATCTCCTCTTAAGGACAGCACTACTATGTCTTACATTAACCTTACTTCAACGATATTTGTTAACTTCTCTCCTAAAAATCTAATTTTAATGTTACCCTGAAACTATAAATGCTCTTGATATTTCGATTATTAAATTCACTATGAATATTCAAAACGAACCGCTTTGAAAACAGCGAAAATTGAAATTTAAGACGTTGTCAAAGTAGGAATGAATGATATCGTTAGAACCTATTTTGCAATCCCGGCTGCTGTTACTATGTAGTGGAATTGAAGATTTAACACAGGGCCATCAGATGTCGATTCCTTTCGGGCGCGTCGCATGGCAAAAAAAGAGACACTTCGGTCCATTACCTTCCGCGTTGCTTTCGCTGTGCCGATGGCTCTTTCGCGCTCTTCTCGAGAGAACATTCTTCTCCGTGCACCGCTTGACAATGTCGACAGCGACGCGTTCGTCTTTCTACACGTGCAGACGTCGCACGGAGAGAGAGAGAGAGAGAAAGAGGAATCGCACTAAATTAGCTAATCGTGTCTCATCCCTGAGAGAGGCCTCGTATTTCTCGATATCTCTCTCTCTCTCTCTCTCTCTCCCCCTCGATCCGTTTGTACGTGCATGCACCGAGACTCACATTGTTTGCCCTCGGAACTTACGTGACGTTCGCAATGTAAACGTACGCAAACACAATCCACGAGTCTTTCCGCTCCGAATTCATCGCGATTGCGCATTCTCGGGAGTTTACCCCAAATAAGCGTTTTTTCGGTCTCTTTTCTCGGATGTTACGTGCAATCCTCGGAGTGCTTCCCCGAGCTACCCCGAGGTATAATAATCGAACGTAAATGAGCCGTGCTTGAGGCGCGCAGAAAATTCCGGGGGCGGAACGCTCGATGCCCCAGAGAGATCCTTGCAATCATTAGTATGATAAGATAACGGAACATTCTCAGGCGATGGCCTCGATAAGGCCGACATTCAGGAGGCACAGTACACATAGAGCACAGTGAGCACAGGAGTGACACGAATTATCAGATACAGAGAGAAGGTCACGGAAGGGGCGGACAGAGAGACGGGGGTGGGCCGCAGTCAAGAATGCTAAAAACGATATATGTACACGCATACATACATATATGATAGGGTGTGCGCAGAGCATGGCGAGGCAATCGATTAATCCTTGACTGGTCGTCGACGGGAAAGATTATGTCTCTTCTTTGACTGATTAAGAGACTCAAGTTCTACGCTCGTTATTAATTCTAACAAAATAACTCGGTTAACGCAACGGAATGTCACCTACCGGGCCAGACGAGAACTTGGTATATGTTGTAAAATAATATTTGTAACTATAATCACACGAGTAAGAGAATTACAGTCAAAAGGACCGTTTTTCTTTTTAACAAGTATCACTGACAATTTTAGCAGGATTTCTTTCAGTGCGTTTTTCGTAACCGGGTTTTTTTCACCTCTTATCATCGAGTTTTCGTCTGGACCAATTGCGGGAATCATTCGTGTACAATCAACGTCCGAATTATTCGATTCAACCAATCGAGGATTCGTGTCCTATGTTGACGGGCAGAGCGGTAGCGTTGAAAGAAAAAAAAAGAAACAATTACGTGGAAACAGAAAATGGTCAACATACAATCGTGTATATATACATATGTAAAAGCGTTCGTGTGTCAACGCAAAAAGAGCTCGCGTAAAATAACAATCCGGCCAATTAATCAAACGTGGTGTAGATAAGAGTTATAATATGGCCGGCGCGTTGCGCCGCGCGCGGCGCTTATTTTTACGTGTGTCCTTACCCTGAAGATACGATCTCCTGACAGGGTGTCGGGGCTAAATGTCTCCCAAGTCCCGTTCTCTAGTAACGTATCGATCGAAAGGTCGAACTCCCGCGAGCGGTTCCTCGATTTCTGCCGAGAAGACCAGAGAGGACAGCTTTTAGCCTCAGGACTGTTTCTATCGACGTTCGATTTTTTTCCCCTCTCCCTCCCTACGTGTCTACGTGTCGATCGTTTATCCTCGTTACTTCTTTTTGCCCGCTCGTCGCCCGGAGAGAATTTAAAGCCGATTCGACGACGACGTGATAAAGTTCGCGCGGCCGATGTTTTATCCCCCTTAAGAGGCCAGGCCTGACACTTTTACATAATTACTCTCGCCGCTGTACGCGGGATGTGTTGCGTTTAACATCGCGCGACGATTACGACGATACATTCGACACATATGTTTCACACACGTGCGCGCATACGCGGCGGATTAGTTTTCCATTTTAATTTTTTTACGCGACGAAACTCGGCGGGTATTGTTTTATAATGCGGACTTGACGCTCCCCTTTCGAAAAATTCGTTCTCCGTTTCGTATTTTTTCCCGTATTTATCGCGAGAAAGCGTTTTATCCGCTCCTCTTTTTCCGCCGTGTAATTCCGACGGATTAAAAATAGATCCCGGCCGTGCACGGCACATATTTAGCTGTGAACAAATAATGTTAATATATTCGCATCGTGTGCACGTCGCATACGCGGATCTGCCGATATCATAATGGCGAAATGGTTCACCATGCGCGGGGACATCGCGCCTTCTTTCTCGGTGACATTTACGTGGCACGGTCGCACGTTGAAATTCAGCTCAAAACGATGCTCCTTCCTTCGTCAAACGCGTTAAACGCACTCAACAGTTAAATTTCGCGATTTCCCGGTTAAAGCGCGCACACACACTTAAATAATGATTCCCCCGCGGAGTCGTGAATTCTTTCAATTAGATCCGCGCCGTTTTTCCTTTTTTTTTTCAGCGACGCCTCGTAATTTAATTTGCACCGACCTCCAGAATCGATGCTCGTGTTTGCAGCGGAAGTGCGGCACTGCTCGTGAAGGTCCGCGTCTTTCGTATGCACAAAGGGTTAAAGAGAGGGAGGAAGAGAGAAAAAGAGAGGGGGGAGGAGGGGGGGGGGGACTTGTGGAGCGCTAAATCTTCTATCCTTCTATGCGACGATACTCGACGATGGGTTTACTTTGATCACACCGAAAGGAAGAGACGAGAAAACGATAACGAGAAGCGAGGGTGGAGTCGCAAGCAAGTCTCTCCGCTTCGTGTGTAACGTATAATAACTTATCAAGCGGTTGTTTCTTACTTTTTCCATACGATAACGCGCGCCGCTATTGCCGAGCTGCACGTCGGATGAACTCGCCAACTCGCAAGAGCGACGCGAGCTGTCGGCGGGGGTGACGACGACGGGGGGGAGGGTGCTAAGGGGTAAAAATTCGTCGTCCGACGTAGCGCATTGTCATAATTCCGCAGATATCGTCCCGTTATGTACAGCGAAACACGAGCTTCGGCGCTTCCTACATACGGGGAACAATGTAGAAGAAAGCGGGCGGGGAGGAGTAATTTAGGAAAGACTCTTCGGAGGAGGAGAATTGTTCAGGCGCGCTTTGTTCTCGCGCGGTTGGAGGCGTATTTACAAGAAATTTATGGACGACAACAAACCGGTCGGCACGATGCATAAGTGCATGGAACTCGAAGAAGTGCGTACCTGGAAGAGGGGCTTGTCGGTTGCCAGCGACGCTGGAATCTGAACCGTGTAGAACTTTTGCTCAAAGTCGGGCCTGTGGTCGTTAATGTCCGCAACCTCAATGACGACCCTCGTAGTCGACGACAAAGGAGGCTTGCCGTCGTCTCTTACTGTCACCTGGAAGCACGAAATTATCAATTTCGCTGCATGAAACAACACGTAATGCATCACGAAGTATATACTTGTCACGTAGTATCATGGAAGTTGTACGTTACAACGGGAACGTTTGATCGATCTGTGATTGCCAACTATTGAGCAACTCATGGCTAAGAATCTATCTTAAGGCTCCTGATTTGCGCGTGTTATTGATTGGTAGCAAGTACCGGCAAAATGACACGCTGACTTTGAAACTTCACGCGTCCTTTTAATTTTGATGAATTTCTCAAAAAAAAAAAAAAATGAAAGGAAAACGGTTTTTATTATTATATGAAGTTTAGCGCATATATTTCGTGCCGAGATTAACGATCATGCGCAGTTGGTGATCTGACAGCTGCCAAATTACATATACGAGATGTGGGCATAAAGATAAATAATAGAGCAATATATTAGTTATACACGCTTTAATACAAGAAAATTGCGACTAAAAAATTAGGATTATATTTATAAACTATGTCGCATTTTCGCAGATTAAATACGCGTGAAATATGAAATACGTATTAAATGTTGAAGCTCTCATAGTACGTAGTTCACGCATGAAGAAAAACGTGCGATATTTTCCCTCATAAATATGGAAACGTTATTAATTATAAAACATTGCGAGCGTCTACGAACTGTATCGTCGAAATGGATTTAGCAATAACCGAAAAGCCGGCACCGGTAATTTCGGTGAATAAACGAGTTAATGCCGATGCCGATTAATTCATGGTTAAATTAACACAGATGCCATCGACAAATCAAATCACAGCATCAACATATCGTTGACTCGATTTATTACTATCTCGTATGAAAGCGTACGATCGGAGCGCGCTTTACTACACAAAATTTCAATCCCTCATATCGAGGCGTTCATTAATATACAAAATTCGTTTCCTCGTTTCTCGCAGCGGACGCTCGAAATACGATAACACCGAATGCTTGAATGTGCATACATTGATTCTCGTTAAATTACTCGCGCAAAAAAATGCCCGCGCGGCCGAGAAGCGGCCGTTCGTCGATTATCAATCGCGGAAAGAAATTCCGCCGGGGGAGGAACGGAAGGAGAAGCACGCCGGGGAAAATACCTAGTAGATATTTCCCGGGTAACGCGATATCTCTCCCGGGTTTCCCCGCGTTTCGCTACGACTTTTCGTGCGCCGCACCAGCCCTTTTTCCAGCTTATACTACCAGTCGTTGTCTTATCGCCCACGTTTCTACCTTCTTTCTCGTCGTCCCGCGAAATCCGGGACTTTCATGCGCGAATATCGCACGTACGATCTGTGCAGTCGGTTGTGCTGACCGGAAGAGAAGAGCAGCTTCTCGTAAAGCCGAGTGTCGCCGCATCCGATGAGATGGCGTCGCAAAGCCGAGATTCCGCTCTTCTCGCGCGCGTCTTCGTCGCCGACCGCGCGAATAGGGATTGAAAACCGTCAAGTTTTGACGGCTTCGAATTCGGCCGCTGCACATCAGATACAAAGGTGATCCCCCGGCGGCAAGCTCTTTTCAGCCGCGCCCTCTAAATGTCACGATTATAATCCCAATCTGACTGAGATCGCCGCCTTTTTTTTTATCTTAACCGACTTTTTTATCTTAACTTTCAATTCGAAATTTCTTGCAAACTGACAGAAGAATGAGAACCTTAGCTTTTTACGTGGAAGACGGTTCTAATTGGCGAAAATGTGAAGTTTAAATAATAAATTAAGCCATTCTCAATTACCTGCCGTATGAGAAGAAAAGGCAAATTTGCTTTGGGGTTACTTTCGACTTTAACCGATTTCTGACTTGGTTAACTTCTCACAGGCTGATAGAACGAGGACTTTCGATCCCGGTATACCGAAATTGAGACGCCAAAAAGAAGTGTGCCACGCGGGTGGGGGTTAATATAGATGTGCAACATGGCGAAAAGGAAACGCGACGCGGTGCGCCACTGAAAGATACGTCATCGAGTCACCGAGTCACCAGGCCAGACAAATAGGTTTATAATTAACCTTTGTGAGGAGGCCGCAGTAAATACTGGGAACGTGCGAACAGAGTTCACGTAAATTTAGCCGCGCGCACGATGTAATTAGTCTTTTCGGCGGAGCGGCTCGCAACTGGCATTGGACCGTTGTATTTTTCATTCTCACTTTATTTTCACCCGTATCTATAAATCCCGCAACACCCATTCCGTCCCAGTTTCAAAAGGGCGTCCCATTCTATACCGTTCCACGGATAGACCAGCCATTTCTCGATCGGCCCTTTGCGTCGTTGCGATCTAACAATAACTGGAGTCCTCCGAATATAGAATCGGGATCATTTCTGATTTCAAGCCAAATATGGCGTCGATAATTGTTAGTTACTTCTAGAAACACTATTATGATATAAGCTATACTGTATTGAACGTGCACGTTTTATCGATTTTCTCATACTACATTTGTCTCGTCGCATCGCGCTATTAGGGAGATCCGTCCGTTCCGTCTATCCATTCGGCGGGAAAGCCGAGCGAACTGATGAGAGAGAGGCCGGTTACGAAATTCGCCGTCGGACCCCGTCGTTCCCCGGTCTGTTCTTCGGCGCAATAATCGGGCGTCTCACGAAGCAATTTCCGGCGGCGTGTGCGGACGGGGGATGTCTGGTGCGGAGACCGCGGCGTAAATCCAATGTCCTCCAGGACGTCTCTCGCGAGAGAGGAGGACGCGTCAGATTCTCTTCCCGGGTAACACCTGCACTAAATTAGGAGTACCAGGACTCCGTTTTATACACCCGGAGAGTACCGGGCACTCTCATCTGCGTCAACGCCACGGGAACGACACTGCCTCTTCCCATCTCCTCGGATTTCTGTCTCTCTTACTCTCTCTCTCTCTCTCTCTGGCCGTCGTGCGGATTGTGCATCTCGATGTGCACATCGCAAACAGGTTCTTTTTTACGAAAGCTGGGTTTCGGTTCAGGGAATGCGCGAGGTTGCGCCTGTTTCTTCACTTACCGTTCCGACATACCAATAATAGAACTTCACCGGGGTTTAATTACTGCGCAGAGACTGTATCAGCGGGTCATGCACGCGCTCACTCGCTCCTTCACCGGCCGCCGCCTCGGGGCCATATTGATTCCATCATCTTCCCGTATCTTCAAGACGTATATTAAGCGGAGCACACCCTGTACAAGATAAACTCGGAGTCCTTACGCCGTGGTAGATTTAAACGCTTGGCCGATCGCGCTAAATCCGTCCGAGCGTCGTCGTCGTATCTTGCCCGGAGGTGCCGCGGCTTCCCTCGTCTCGTCCTCCTCCAAGTACTCACAATTTTATCATTTCACCAGGCGAGGAAGGAAGAGAGAGGGGAGCTCGCGCTTGGGGCTATTGGAACGGTTTAATATCGGTTCGCGATCTACGTAAGCTGCACGGAAGGGGTTGGCAGGTTTCTGAGAAGGCGAGTTAACACGGCAAACATGTGAATTCCACGTAGAGATTATCATTATTCTGATACGTGCTAAATATATTCTTTTCCTCCTTTTGAACAACCCGCAACCCGGAATATATCGTGAGGCGGCCGCGTTATAATCTATAATCCGCCCTGGATTTCTTGTCCCGCGGCCTCGGAAAGTTTCCCGCCCGAACCACCCCGAAATTATTCGCATTTCCACGGCTGAATAACCTGATGCGCCGAAATGAAAATTATGACGTTTACTTTTAGATTTTATCATATCGATTCCTAGTCGATCGCGAGCATCGTAAAAATACGAGTCAGTTCTTGCGTACTGTTTTGATACGATTTCCCAAAGCCTGACGAGAGACTCGCGCGATCAGTGCATTAACAGAACACGGCAGGATAAAAACGGCAATCGGTGTCGTGCGAAGGAGAGAATCTCGTATTCACGGTCGAAGCTGCTTACGCGAATGACGCAAACCGTCGACCTCGCTCGATGTCATTACCAGCGCTTCGCGAAATTGTCTTCGTCTCTGAAAGCGTCGCACTGAGACGGTTCCTTTTACGGTGGACGAGTGAGCACGTGCTAACCGCCCGGCGCCAAGGACAGCATCAGCTTCCACACATTAGGTCCAGCCGGAATCGGAATATTCGCTCGCGAAATTACCAGGCCGGCAACGGCCGGTCCCTCCACCGACTCTCTCTCTCTCTCTTTCGTCGTTTACATAACGAGCGGACATGATTTAATAATCATCACCGGTTAAGTATAACGCACATTCACGAAAGTTCCGAGTAATACGCTTCGGAAAGGGCGAGAAATCCGGGATACCCCGGCTTATCCCGAGGATATCGAAATATTCTCAGATCTGCCTGAAGCTCTGTTAATAATGATCGGTCTGCGCGCCAATATCGCAGGAATTTCTACATTAAACTCTCGCACATTATCCGGCCTACAAATTGGATCCGGCAAACCAGACTGGGCCGGGCTAATTTCGCTGCGATAAATTAACGTTTTCAATGTCGCTTCCTCGAGCAGAGAGAGAGAGAGAGAGAGAGAAAGAGAATCGGTTCCGAGGAAAACATGGAGGGAACTATCGGTCCTTTCTGATGTAGAGTTACATCACTTCTCACAAGGTCTCATCGCTCGTTTGCGGCGCGGATGCGCCAATGATACGTTCTATTTAGCAAGCCGAGAGAGCTTTGCGGGTTCCTCCGCGTTCTCTCTCGACCCTCTTTCACCTTCCTTTCCTCTTCCTCCGATTCTCTTTGGAAGTAAACCGACAGATCGTTAAGGGAATATCACCCGCTCGCCGGAGCAGAAAAGCATGCATAATTTGAAGGCTTTCTGAAGGAGAATCAACTCCGGCTCGCTTCGTGGACGAAGCCGTTTCCGGCGACCGTTCGCTCCGAGAATTTACGTCCCCACGCACGGAGTATGATTTCGGTAATGAGTACACAGCGAATCGATTATCATAAAAGATTAATGAGCCGGGCGACCGATAGTTCGGTCAGTCCGCTGGTCAAAGATGCAGTGGTTTCTGTTACAGGCCGCATTCATTATTCATCGGATCTCGCGGATGG